CAGCCCCAGGCGCCTGGCGAGCTGCTGGAACTCTTCCTGCTGGTCCGTGCTCACGTTCAGGTTTCGGGCTGCAGAAGGAGATTTTGAGGCATTAAATACGGACCGGTGGCTGTGTCCCTGCCCTGGCTGCCTCCTTCCCGCGCCCCCACCACCGCCTGCTGCCCAGAGGGTCTCTGCTGGGGTCTCCAACCTCGGGCGTGGCTTTTTTTACCCCTTTTTCCATTCAGCTCCGGTCCTGTCTGCTTTAAGGGGTTGCAGGATGCTGTTGGACACTTCTGGGGTGTTGGGAGGGACCCAGAGGGACCAAGGCTGAGTGTGGAGGTGGTTTTCTGTTTCTATTCTATTCTATTTTCAAATTCTCTTAAGCAACTGCTTTGCCGCTTGGGAGGGCCACGGGGAGCCTGATCAAGGTGTAAAGTGCTGGTTATGGGGTTGTGGGTAGATGTGATCAGCTCTGCCTGTGCCGCTACTGCAGAGCCACGTGCTCTGCCCTGGGAGGCAAATACTGAAAAATCATGGTTGGCTTGAAAATATTGAGATTTTTATGATGATATCGGTGCCGAATTGTATTTGCTTGCTGTTCTTGGAATATTTATGGTGTAAGCGGGTTCTGCCTTTAACTTGCTCTTTGTGCTCTCCCAAGAGATTTGGGTTTTAATGGGATTTGTAAAGGCTCCAGTGACCCCTGGAGCGGCAATCTTGGGTAAATCACTGACTGTTGGCGAAACCAAGCGGCTGCGTTGGCTGTAGCTGGGAATTCAATGGGCGTGTTTTGGTGTCACACGCTAGCTTTACATTACTTTAGGATGGAGTTTGCATACCATAAAGATACAGTCCCACGTACGTCCTGTCCCTCTGTAGTTGGTACTGGATGAGTAAAACGTCCTCAGAGCTGAGGTTCATCAGCATCCCCAGGGTTTGATGGGTCTTGGCTTCGAGAGAACAGGATCAGGGTTGGGAACAGTTGTGATATTCGGTTATCCAGCGCTGCAGCAGTGATAAACCCCAGCCTGGGTGGGGGCAATGGCCGTAGCCCTGGGATCTTGTTGCTTGGCTCTGGGTTTATTTGAATCATACTTAAACGTGGGCTGAGGTGTGAAGGAGCCAAAGCCACCCAGCTCCCGTCCTGCCAGTGCGATGTGCTGCACGACACGGGGTGCCAGCGGGTCTGCCCGACCCCAGTGCCCAACCTTGCAGCCTGGGGGGGTGTAAAAATGGGGAGAAACTGTCCCCTGCCCGCGGCAGTGCTGCTGTGGCTGGGTCAGTGCAAACCGTGGCTCTGGGGTTTGCAGTTCCCACCCCAAAGGGCTCACCCCCTGTCCTCAGCGAGGAGGAAACAATTCCCCAGCTGGAACCTGCCCCAAATGCTCCCCTTCTTCCCCTCCCCCCTGTTTGGAGTCCACCGAGATTTCAAGTGGACAAAGCAGCTGGGAATAAAATGTGTCAGATGATGTAAAGCATCGACACGGGCCCTTTGCGTGTCTCAGCTCGTCCGAAAACCAGTCTGG